GAGACAAGAGACATGTTGCAGCGTAGCATTAAGAGCGTCTGGCATGTTACAGCGTACCCCTTGCCCCCCCCACCCCCCACCCCACCCGGTTCCCCCAAAAAAACACACTATTCTTCGTGCACAAGGTCTAACTAACGGGCAATACTTCTAACTAACGGGAAATACTTCTAACTAACGGGCAAGACTTCTAACTAACGGGCAATACTTCTAACTAACGGGCAATACTTCTAACTAACGGGCAATACTTCTAACTAACGGGCAATACTTCTAACTAACCGGCAATTCTTCTAACTAACGGGCAATAATTACTTCTAACTAACGGGCAAAGCGACACCACAGCAAAAAGTGTCATATTTGCCAGGGCCGGTAGGGGCGTCGTGAGCAAAAACTAGGTTCTAGGGTAGGTTCTAGATGGTTCTAGGGTAAGGATGTAATGAGGTGATTATAGTAGATATATGGTTTATGGCACCATGAAGAATATGGGATGAACCATGGTTCGTGGTTTCTGTATTTCTAGTTTCCCGTATTTGGAGTCAAGTTCCCGCACATCAAAGATGAGGCTAGATGAGAAGGCATTGGTATCACCAAAACCACCCCAAATCATTCAAAATCATTCAACCGCATTCGAAATCACTCAAGACACTCAAAATCATGGTCCCATTGTTTTGATGAAGAGTCCCCAAAATCAATCCCAAAAATTCATTCAAACTCATTCAACATGTGTTTTTTTTCCCTCTGGATGTGTATGGATTTTCAGACCCCTTGATACTACCTCTACAAAATAGGGGTCCCGCGGTAATTCTTACAATGGTTCTTTGTTTGGGAATGTCTGATTACAAACTGTCCAAGAATTGCGGGAAAAAACTTTCTGATTTTATAGAAGGCCATTCGTAAGCCATTTGTATGTAAGCCAATATGTCCAAGGGAATTATTCAACAGAAATTTGTAAGCCAGTTTGAAAATTTATTGGAAATATGTGTATGGTGATAGAATAATATAAAATAATATTGGAAATATGTGTATGGAAAATTTATTGATGGGAATAACATTTTGATTTTCAATAACAAATATTTCCAATAATGAATTTTAATGATGTTCCCATCGATTTTCAAATTGGTTGTTCCTTCTCAGCCAGGATAGCTGCTTCGTTCGCGTCATGGGAGCTGACTGGTGGCCAGCCTTCTTGGGGCTACTTGGCAATCCGGATGGCGACTTTCTGCTGTATGCTGTGTAAAGATATACATATGTTCATATATATATATACATATTATGGATAATCATATACATATACTAATATAAGATGTGCACAATAATCAGTTGTAATATATACATGTATGCATTATATACTGTGTGATTGTTGGAGAACATAATCGCTGTGTAAATTGTGTGAAATGTTATCCAATTATTGAATCATTGATAGAAGTACAATTACTCCATAGTAACATATAATTATATGTATGTATGTATATGATTGTATATGTATATTATATATTCGTAGGATTGGTTAACGGCAAAACAATACAGGAAACCCCTATATTTGATGGCAAAATTCAATGGTTTCCTGTAGACGTTCCCTTAAACCAATCCATGGATATACATATATATATATATAATATAGATATACATAATACACATGCATGTATAGGACCAGGCTGTTCAAACGAAACCAGCACGTCTCCGTCACTTCAGGCCTCAAGTTGCTCAGCGCGATCACGAAAGGAATGTTGGTCGACCTGGAGAGAGCACAGGAAGTGTTTTCAGGTGCCAGTCGATCATAGGATCATGGGATTTACCCCCTGGTAAATCACCCAGTGGAAAATAATAGAGGTCCGGTGGATGGTTGCGAAATCCTGCACCAGTTGATAGATGGTTTATCCCATTATTTATAGGGTGTCAACCATCCAAGGTGGTGCAGGATATCTTCCATCCACAGTATGTTATAAGTCATAATATCCTATAAAGTTTATCATCACCATTTGTTTTTCCCTCTGGAAACTTAACATAGACCCTGAAAATCACTCATTTATACTGGTTTCACTAGTCTTCCAACCCCGATGACTGCCAGGGTCAAACTGTTAATTTACTGGAGGGTAACAAGGGGATGTAGATGGAAAATACTGGGATATAAGATGGGATGGGGCACACTCTCTGATGATCTAAGAATCTATATACTTTAAGCCTTAAAATCTGCAGAACGAGGATTGAACATGATTGAACCGCAGAAAATTGTTGGTTTGATCATCAAACAATGGGAAAATACCACCCCCTCAAACTAACAACGACCCTGAGAATCAATATTTTTTGTTGGTTGGAAGCTAGTCATGAGGCAGCGCCCATGTTAGTTGGACCAGTCGATATATCCATTGAATTAGAGAGGGCACCGGGTACCATGGAAGGTTTTTGATTGTGAGTGTGAATCCTCAGATTGTAGCTGCATCGTAGCATTATGTTGGTCATTTATTCAAAATAGTCTTGACATGTACCATCTTAAACCCAAACAGCGCAATGTAACTAAATGTGACTAAGCATTCTTGTAGTGTGATGCATTTGCAAAAATTTGCATGTTGCTTCATGCAATGACTAGTTGATGCTAGTTGTTTTCAGACATCCTGCACCAATTCTTTGGTCCCTCTGAGACGATGCCGTGTGCCAAATGGATTTTTAGACCGCCAAAACATGGGCCTATAATAACACGGCCCATCAATATGGCAGTGTGTCAAAACCTTGTACCCCTTCTGTTCACATCAAAATAGCTGGGATTTATGGATGTTCATCCCACTAAAAATGGTATTTTCATAGGTATTGATCCATACCCATATTAATATCCACACAACCACATTGGTGTCCGAAAATATATTGAAAATATGGCTTTTCCCATCTATGACTTCGATTTTCGGAGATCCTTCACTGCTGGGTCCACTAAAACCCAGCTTTAACCCCTGATCCCCCATCAACTATACCCATTGATCCCCATATGAGTGTTTAAAATGTTGATGATAGGGAGTTATACTACTCAATATATTGATATCATAATCAACAACTAGTACAATGGAATCCTAGTCAATGAGAAACAATGAGAATAGTAATGAACAAGTAGTATAATGAAATCATAGTTTTCATGAGAATAGTATCTCAATGATAGGGAGTTCTACTACTCATTATCATAGTCATACTACTCTATGGAGGAATCCTAATGGAGGGCTCCAGCTATGCCAGGGACAGGTTCTCCGTCTTTGGGGGCGATGGACATCGATTGGGTGAGAATCAGTAGGAAAGCGCGGTGCGTCGTGCCGTCGCATCCAAAGATGGATCTGGTAGGTGGTTCAATTTGAAGCTCAGGTGTTTTTTCAATGCTACAGCAGTGTGAACCACATTTCAATGTTGAGAACATGTGAAGCCATGTGTTTTTTTGTTTTGGTGCCAGTCTGAAGCAATTAAAGAATTGTTTTGCGGAATTCTGCGGAATGCAACATAACTGATATATATATATATATATACACAATGGCTGCAAACATAGATGTCCTTTTCCCATTGGTTGGTTGATGAAACAAGAGGGGTTTGTTTACCCCTTTAACAACAGGTCAATGATGAGACAATCTCCACGAAGTACCATCCATACAGATCTAAAAAAAAGCGGATACATCCTATAATAAACATATCATATATATATATATATTCATATATGATGTTATTTGAGTGGTTATAGTTGGGTAAATGTACCCAACAACCATACATGGATGATATGGGTCTGTTTGGACCCTGATGGGGACAATCTTCTGAACTGCCATTATTTTTCCTTTAAGTGTGTGTGTAAGTGTAAGTGTGGGAGCCACCGACCAGAACTAGATGCGAAGCTGTATGATGGATCTATAGATTGTGTTTTGCCTTTCAGATAAACTTATCTATTTCGTGCCGCAGCAGTGGTGGTGTGGCGGTGTGGATCAATGCTCGAACTGAAAGTTAATTCAATCGACGAAAGTCGCATGTCGATGGAAAAGAATTGTGATGGATAGGTCTGGATTCAAACTATGGAAAATAAACAATATTTGGGGCCAACATGGGCCTACCAGATATAGGTATCATAGATACTGTAATCATGCTGGCTAATGTTCCTATATCATTAGATACTTGCCCAGTAGAATATTGTACAATGCAGGTATGTTCATAGTATGTTCGAACAAAAACCACCCTTTGGTCACTAGAGCTATAGAAGCCATGGATAAAGCCATGGCCCATAGAAATAGATTATTTACCTGATGATTTACCAATTTTCATAGATCATGATTTTTTATAACCCTGTTTTTTTTTAAATAGATTGTAATATTATAGATGATTTAAAATTTATAGATGATAAACATGATAATTTGCCTATTAACGATGGTATTTTCTGATAGCAAACTTTGAAGACCCAGAGGGGTTGGATGATGAGCTCCTGGTCCGTTACAGGCTTGGCTTGGTCCCTCAGAAACCAATAGATAGATAGGTTAAATATAGATAATGTATAGATAGATGTAGATAGAGGTTTAATTTGCAACCAAGATGAATTCGGGATAAACTTATATATATATATATATATCCATGGATGTTGAGAGTTGTACGCTGTGGCAATTAAATGCTGGCTGTTTCGACTTTGATAACTAGTGATGTGGGGGGATGATAGAGACGAGTTTGTCAGAGACCTCAGGACCTCATCGTCATGGCAAGATCTTTCGATTTGTTTCATTTGTTTTGGTAATCACTTCAACATTGAGAAGCATGCACGCACACATGATATAAGTTATGAGTAAATGCAACCTATCAATACATATAGAGTATAATATATATATATACAGGATTATATATAGTTATAGGCATTGAGATATCTTAAGATATCTTGAGATTCTCCATCATCCTTCCCCAAGAAAATATATCACCACGATAAAATGACGGTGGATCAATGCGAAAGCTCCCCAGGTGGATCATCCAAAGGTGAGCGGCGGCATGTCGCGTTGCGTTGGCAGGCGAAAAAGATTGACGAGGACTTGTTCGAACAGTGCTGGAACATGACCAGGCGCGAGAAATCCTTGGTAGTGGATGGATATATTGGGTGATTCAATCTGATTCAGTTGGAAACCTGGGGGTGCTGGCCTTCAACAGTGAGGACTATCAAATGATAGTTGCTGGATGGATTCTAGTGGAGTCATACGAACAGTTTTGGGCACAGCTCAGATTCTTGTTGTGGAGGTGGAGATGCGTTATGCCACTGGGTTCCATGGGGGCAAAATTGTTGTTTTTTTGTTTTGGAGAATGGAACATGGTATCACCAAGAACAACAACATGTTGACTTTTTTTTAAAGGTGGACCGGTATGGTGGGTCGCAGGATTTGAGGCCTGGGGAGTTGAATGAATTTCCTAGTGATAGTAGGCCAGTTGAGTAGTAAAACATTCAATTTTGAGTACTTTTTTTGTTCCTACCCGCATCTCTTCAGGTCCTGGTTGGTGCTCAAGAGAGTTCCGGAGTATCGCTTTGATGCGGAGCTGCAGAATGTGCAAGAGTGACCTGTTAACAGAGCGATGTTGGGCATGGGGAATGGCTGTTTGTAGAGGAATTGTTTTTCGGAACCTTATGGGTTCTCGAAATTTGTGCCATATTTTGAAAACCCTCAATAACCATCAATAACCATCAATAACCATTAATAACCATTAATAACCAGGGTAATATCATGCAACAATTCTTTCACACCAGCCACACCAGCCACCCAGCCGCACGGGCCGGAGCTCAATGTTTTGGGGTGTAAATCCTGGCACCATTTTTTTCATCGTTTTGCATCAACATGGCATACTGAGAAAATACAACATGGTGACTTTTCTGCATATGTTATTATTTATTATTGTTATTATTATTATCATTACTATTATATTTATTATTAATTATATTATTATTATGGAATCTATTATTAATTATATTGTTGTTACTATTATTATTACTATGAATATTGTTACTATTGTTAATACTACTACTATTATCTCGCAACGAGCGTCCGGGCAATCCAAGATGACGATGACGATGACGATGATGACGACGACGGTGACGGTGACGACGACGACGACGACGATGATGATGATGATGATGATATCTTCTTGAAACCCTATAAGAAACCGTAATGACTGTATGGTTAATTGTTCCGCGGGGCCGGGGGATTTTGATATATTCTTGAAACCCTATAAGAAACCCCAATGACTGTATGGTTAGTTTCATATGATATGTAGAAGCTACATGTTCTGGTTAATTCATGTTAATTCCCTATAGCAACATAAATGAACATACAAATCCTTCCCGTTGTTTGACGTCGTACAGAATTCCCCGGTATTTACGCTATTCTGGGCTTGGGCAAACCTCGGGGTCTGTGTGTACTATTATCATTATTATTGTGTATATAATATTATACTATACTAATATAATAATAATAGTTATTATCATTAATTATCATTAATTATATATATATATTATTATTACCCAGATGCTCCATACATGGAGTGTCTGGGTTATGTATATATATAATTATAGTTAATTATATATATATATACATACAGTCTAGTGTAATGCACGTGAGAAACGTGACCGTGGCAATAGTACCTTGTGTTTCGATGTGCCCTGAGATGAGTCAATTTGCACGGCGACACGAGAGGTACATGCTGGGTGCTTGCATTGCAATGGACAAAGCGCTAGAGAGGCCATGAGGTTTCCGGGTGCCAATCACGGCCAGAAAGGCTTTCTGGCCACGAATATGGTGAAAGGAAACCATAGAAATGCAGATATCCATATTTTTCTTCGCATTGTGGTTGATTTTAGATATAGATTCTAGATCTTATGGCCTTAGATTTGGTTGAAGATATAATAGAATATCCAGATGTCTACTGGTGCACCTACAGGTGCAAACGCCACAGCCATTCTATCCGTGTGGTTTCTTGGAGGCGGACCTCTTTTTTGTGCGGGGGTGCCCCCAAAAAAAGTGGATGGTTTGAACATGTTTCAAGAGGTTTGAATCAGCACAACTTGCCCCAATTGGATACACTGGGATTGCTAAACTATGTGGGGATGGCTCGATGTCATCTCAACATGGATGGTTCACTGCCAGAAAACGACCCAGGCCGATGCAACTTCGTGCCCACAACTCCTGAATTGGTTGAGGGGGCAAATTGACTGGATCCCTATAGATTATCTAGGAGTCAACGCCATGCTTTCATAGTCTTGGGAAAACCAAAAATCATTGAAACCCAGTATACATTGGTTATATCCCATTAATTATATCCCCCAATACATCCCTCATGATATCTCCTCTCCCCTATATTTCTATGATATCCAACCATAACCAAAAATGAGGGCCTCCATAGGTCGCAACGACCCATCCAACCACTCTCCACCTAATTATGTCAGGCCGGATGTCCTGCCTGCGCGGGTGCAGCAGTGCTTGTGGGCCAACATGTATAGTGGATCCGTTGGAGACCTCAATTGTGGCCCTTTAACGGAAAGCGTTGGTGTCGGGATTTCTTTCCAGGTTAACATTGCCAGATGGTATTTTTCTACGTTGCTTCATGACTAGGTTTACTAGAGCTCTTAGAGGTATGTATCTATCTACATGAATGTATATATATATAGAGAGAGAGATAGAGATTAATTATAAGTAATTAATTATATAGGTACTTATATCTTTACGAATATACCTTTATTATACCTTTATTATACCTTTATTATACCTTTATTATACCTTTATTATACCTTTATTATACCTTTATTATACCTTTATTATACCTGTATTATACCTTTATTATACCTATATAATTACCATATTACCTTTAAATCATACATGTATAAATACTATTGTTATTATTTACAGCAGATGATTCTATGTACATCCTGAGGTCAAGAAAGACCACAGGGGCCTGATGCGCTTGACCAAGTGATCCTGCCGTTTTTCACCCGCCTCGGGCTCGGCCAAGAGCGGGTGAAGGGTTCGGCTTTCTCTTTAGTGACCATTGGGGACATGTATTTACATTTAGTGATAGTGGGATTTAATGGGACTTTATGGGGAGTCAATGGGATTTAATGGGACTTGGTGGGTATATATTATCATCTGGTTGGGTTTTTAAATTGGTTTGACATGTTGAAACAAAAAACACACATGTGTCCTTGTTTTCCAACCATACTTGGGATGATATATTGTATATACAGTGTATATATATACATGTATGTAATCTGGTTGCGTGTTAACAAGTGTTGATTGTTTTCAACCATACACAATGGAGTATTGGTGATGACAGAGACCATCGGGATGGTCAGTACCTGGTTTAATTGGTTTAACGGTTTGCTGCTTGGTGGTTTGGAACCATGGATTTTTTTTTGACTTTCCCATCATATTGGGCATTTCATCACCCCAACTGACTTTAACTCCATCATTTTTCAGAGGGGTAGGTTGAAACCACCAACCAGCTTGGTTTTGAACATGATTTTTGGTCATCATACCTCTTTGTTTTGATTGCGCCTGGGATTTTTGCGGAGCCACCCAGCACTCATGGCACACATAAAAACCCCGTGAGCTGGGAGCTGGTGGTATCTGGGTGGTTCAGGCATCAGGCGTGCAACATACATCGCATGATCATTGGTCTAGTGTCAAAGGTTATTGCAAAACTCCCACCAATGTCGTGCTATACGATGCGAATTCCTATAATCAGTGTGATGGCTAGTGATTCCTCTAATTGGTATGAGTCCTCTTGCCACAGACTAATCGTGGCCTAGTAATGGATGTAGAACATGTTGGAACGAACCGTACCCACTATATTGGTGTGTCTGGAAATCGTGCATACCCCTCAAATTGCAATGTTTACAGTGAAACTTGTGACAAACCATCAAATTTGGACATTTTCCTATGTTCAGTCAAGCCATTATGTGTATACAATATTATACAATATTATACAATAGTATACATATTATAGCTACTTGAATGGCAGGTACATGCTGCGGCAACTCGGGTTGATCCTTCAGTTGGATTCTGATCGCGTCGGGCTCAGCCTGCCATTTGCTGCCATTTGGGTATGGTTCTGATCACTCAATATGGTCATTTTGGGCATGGTTTATGGCATTTGGTTTATCACATTATACTGGTTGGTGGTTTGGAACATGTTTTTCTCCATATATTGGAAATAATAATCCCAACTGACTTTCATATTTTTCAGAGGGGTTGAAACGACCAACCAGTAATTATGTTCAACACATTTTTTGTTTGGTCTTTTACTTGCTCAGACTTAACCCTGTATACATCAACACAAAGTAGAAATGCTGGGATGATCCTTGCACTTTGTATGCGTGAATGTGATCCATGAGTGATTTGTGTTTGTCTCCCATAAGAAGTCTACCCTCTGGTAATTTAACATAACTATGGAAAATCACCATTTATAGTATAAATTTATAGTGATTTTTCCCATGAAACATGGTGATTTTCCATGTTAGTTTACCAGAGGGTATTTCGAAGGCAGCCCATTTTCAATGGATCCTTCTCCCGGTGAAGACTTGCACATCTTACAACGGGGTGATTTTCGGGGTCGTCTCAACAAGCCAACTGGGTCGCATAAATGGTGGATGCAGCCACCTGGCGAGACATATGCGGCAGAAAACCACTGAGCCAATCACTGAGTTGTTTTATATGCCTACAGCTGTCAGTTTTTCAAAAAAAAGCATGGGAGTTTCGGGCAGATGTGAAAATAGATTTTCCACAAGAAGCACAAAGCACAGAAACCGGAGTTTTTTGCTCTGCCGATCGAAGCCTGCAAGGTTTCTTGTCAGGTCAGTTCATCTGGGCCGATTTTCCAGGCTCCGTGATGCTTCGTTAGTTGAGTCTACAAGCTGGTCCCCAGTTGTGAGTCATAGTCCCCATTAAATATTGATATACTATACAGTCTCTCTCTATATACACATATATATATATATATGTGTGTCTATATGGGTATAGCCATATATCTGTACCAGAACTATCATAACTCCTACTTGAGCGAGTTACAAACCAACTTAGGTATCGTAAATCAGCTATTGTAAATGTCCATTCTTGCAGATTTTTCAAAGCCCATCACTTGACTGCTGACATCGCCAGTCAGCGATCGTGTGCGCAAACCTCTGAAGCTGCCCGAGTGGCGTGAAAAGTTCGGTCCTCAGTTTGGTTCTTCTGTGGTGCCGTGAAGCGTGCAGATCTGCTTGAGAACATGGAGACTTAACCAACAAGAATGGGGGTTTAGATAATGGGTTTTATATAAATAGATTTGTGATAGCTAAGTTGGTTTGTTTCACTAGGAGACACGGTTTATGGATGTTTATGGTAGATATATGATATGTTGAACTAGTTGATGGGGTCAGCCTCAACCAAGAAACAGAACTGGGGCGAAACACCACCTCGTGAGTAACGGTAGTGGTGGTTTTACGTGGATACGGAAAGGCCATGGGAAAACATGGGAAGACCTCATGGGAAAACATCTACAGTGGATGGATTCCACACCATTAGTTGACTAGCGAGGGTATCTTCCATGGAGCAGATTAGGAGAGAGAACATGATGAATGAACGTGGTGACATGTTCTGTTATTTCTTGGCTAGGTTCTGCTGGTTGCGGGAGAAGTTGCAATGACAAACTCGCATGAAATTTCATAGCACCAACATGCACCAACCCATATTTAGGATAAACATCTAAGACCGACGTCAATTTTTAACGATAACATGCACCATGTTCGGTCCCCATAAAGGGCTGCCACTGGGCTTAACATTCTACAGGCTTAATTACAGCAGGCAGCTGTTACATCCAGTGAAAAACTTCACCATTTGGGTACGTTTAGATAATCCATGGCAACTTGTTCAAGGACCAGAGCCCAAGAACTATGGATTCCAGTAAAGTATGGGGAAACAATTGATCAATTGAACATGGCCTTAGATGTCATTGAAACACTGAATTAAATCAGGTTTAGGAATCCTTCCCCCTATAATCATCCAGAGACCATTCAGTCAAAGTAGGCCAAATTCCCAAAAAATCAGAACGACTTTCACTCCGTGGTTAACACAGCAAAAGCAGTCCCAGTCCGCTACCATGTGCGATCAATGTCAAACATTCTCAAATTTTCCCAAAGAAGGTTCCCATCCTCCAGATCTTCCTGGAACCATGTCAAAGCTTGTCATTCAGAAAGTTCCGGAATTCCGGAAAACATCAGCAGATCTTCCTTGGAAGCTTCCGCCAGGTTCCGCAGCGAGCAGGTTGAGAGCTTGGGCAAGTTGGACTTGAAGTCCATGGGCTCACGCCCCGCCAGCATTCCGGGTTCAGACCCTAAGACGCCGTCACTGAGACCTTGAGGATGGTGGTCCAGTTGGTCACCCTTCGGTGGATTGGATGCCATGACCATGCCATGCAATGACCAGACTGTACCAATTGGTAATGATCCCGATTTACACAACGTCATGTGCAACTATATAATACTATATATTGATATATTGATTGTAGAATCTTTGTAAAGTGAGCAGAGAGGTTGTTCAACCAACCACTTGGTTGCTTGATAATGAACCTGGCTACCCGAATGTTCGGGCAGCCTGGCCTCTACGTTGCACTGCAACGTCCGCGTCGGACAGAAAAATAATGAAAAAGAAGGCTGGCAGCCAGAAGGCTTTCACAATGATGTCCAGTATGATAGATGTTAATGAATGTTAAACCATCACCTGGATATCAAGCAATTTTAAGTGAATACGTATATATATATATATAGTTTTCCTGTCCTGAAGTGATCCAAAGTTGTGTGTGAATCTGAAATCCCAACCGGCCAGACTGCTACGTATATACAGTGACACCCCCCATCATTGGCTCATGTCGCGGGGATGTCCATTGGGGGTTGCACTAGCGGCTTGCCCACATCCACTGGACGCAGTGTGGCTCAGTGAGCTGCAGCATAAGTCAGGTTTGATTCTCATGGCGCTGTGTCGCTGATGGGTGGCAGGCACCGGGGGGAACTTTTGCTGCTGGAACTGGTGCTATGGCAGCTATGGAATGTGAACCCAATGCCATAAACCCCAACATCATAAAATGGGTGGGATTTCAACAATCCCCAGTAGGTTTATCATTTCGATAGATGTTTACTGATTCAGATCTATTTAAAAAAAAAGTTTCCATAGTCCCATATAGTCCCCATTTTGGAGCTATTCGACTCGAAAGTGGGGAAACAAATCATGGTGGGGCCATGAGACTTGGCACTGAACTTGGCCCTTCTTTGTTCGCCTTTGTCGTAGGTAATCTTTGAGGTCGAAATGAGGCCCAGCGGGGACCTTTGGGACGTTTCCTGGTGCTGAAAAATTTGGGTATGGATCAATGGCCAGAACCTTGGCCAAAACCAAAAAAAAGCCAGAGATTTAGATCATGGTCACGTCATTCGAAGCATCCACATGGCCGACATGGCCTGGTCCACTTAAGCAATTGTTGTTGTATCAAATTGTGCTTTCGAAGCTGACCCAAGACCATCACATTTGAACTTTGAACAATCTTTGAACGCCCAATTTTGGATCTTGCTCGATCCTGGTTAAAATCATTGAAACATCGAATTTCCCATGAAGTGGCCAATCATTCAGGTTCAGGAGTAGCTATTGTTGGGTTATGGCGGTTATGGCTATCCGGATGGTCAGTGGTTCTCAGATCCCTACACCCAGCCATGGCATGCCATGGCGTCCCAAGATCCGCAGGTTGGGATGTAGCCTCTTGGTGCCCCAGGGATGGATTCCCCAAGCGAAAAATGGGGCTTCTCCGCCATTCTGAACAGCCGTCATAGATGTCATAAAGGGATGATGAGCCCATTTGAGGATGACATCAATCTCATTCAATATCCATATTGATATTTATATCATATATATATATATATTATAGATAATGTGTATAATGACGTAGAGATACAGATACACTACATATCAAGGGGTCGGCCTTAAAAACGAACCTGATGTTGGCACTGCAGAGCAGCGATCGTCAGGTACTACAGATTTGGACGGCCTGTGCGGTTGCAGGTTGGACGGTACTAGGAAACGTCCAAGAGACTGTCGAAGATGTCGAAACGGCCAGGGATCTGTGATTTTTCTCTCTTGAAGCAGCAATGGTTTGGTCTTCATAGCCCAAAAACTGATATGTTGATTCATGAAGCATGCCAGATATAGTTGTTTTATGTTGTTTTCGCTCACAAAATGAATACGTTGGCATAAATGCATGTATATTGTAACAAAAAAAACTGATGCATTCTTGCTCCAAATTCCTCCTCATGTTTCCCTTTGGAAACAAGGTACTGCCCGTTGGTCAAATTCCCATTTGAGTTAGTTTAAAGTCCTTACTGTACTCCTTTATTCTTGGTTGCTGCTTTTCCAAAGTTGTCAAACCATTTAGTTGGTAGTAGCAATCTCCATCTCCTTTGATGTGTTTATATATACAGTTACATTTATTCCTCACATCATCATTGGTGGATGGCTTTCAAAACCCATCAAGTTGTCAGTTCGATGCAGCGATGCCCCTAGGTCCAGTGCACGTTGCTACGGCTGCTACGGAAAGGCAACCCCTTTGTTGATGCAAGTGATTATTATTTATGTCAGTATATTAGGGAATATTTGCCACAAACAATCCATATTTCACCCATGTTCCTATATAGGGTATGTCCAATTGGGATTTATGGACATATTCCGTTACAGTAGTACTATTTTGTTATCATGATTCATTGATACCATGGATTGTTCCTACTGATATCTACTCATTATTTTCCCATTTATTGTGTGATGATTGCTACCATGTATTGTTGCTACTGATTGTGTTCCCATTGAAGGGGAATCCAGCGTTTGAGAACTTACACCTTTGATTTTGCTGAGGCCCATTACTCCATCTTGTGAATCAGGAATGGTGACCCAAGAATCATGGACCCATGTTCAGTCGTATACAAACATTGAGTTATAAATGAGTTATAAATAGCCTGCAATGACAATCCAACAGGTCAACGGCCAACGGGTGAAATACTCGAGTTACAGCTAGCTCCATCCAGCATATTTCCTGAATGTCCCTCAAACAAACCCTTGCTGATTGCTGATTGTGCCAGATATTGAACCTTGTGATACCTTGTTTTCTGAGTGTTCAAACTTCTCTCTGCAAAGCATCAAATTCTGCTACGTGCCTCCCCAATTTTGATCCGCTGTCCCACTAGAACGCATGATTCCAGCATTTTTTTTCAGTCCTTTGACTCTCCGTGAAAAAGATTGAAAAAGTCCACACGTTGTGGCCCCTATACTTAGCTAAGTTGGTTCATAACTACGTAGATTATATAGGTTGCAAGATGTTTTAAGTAGATATATCGAACTATAATCGATCTAGTATCTAGTTACTGTAATTGATCTAGTTCATTGGCTTTATAAACCAATTGCCCATGTCCGGAGGCATTTCGGATCCAACCAGGCCTGGATTCATTGGGGGTACCCCATGGTGTAAAAGGACACCTCAGTAGTGGAGATTCTTGGAATAATCATGAATAAACATATGGACATATGGGGAATATTGAAGTACTAGTTATGGCTATTCATGGCTATTCATATGTCATGATATGTCCAAATTTTAGTACTATCATTTATAGTTGCATATGACTACTAATTATTCAACATGACCATGGCTATCATGGCTGACGGGAAATTCCAAGACATAGTTTTACGCCAATTATTGCAGATTGCAGCTCTGTGAAATCCTCATTGTATGCGTCCATGAGCTATGACAAACATCCAAGACCAGTATTTCAGGTTGTCTCAAAGAGTCCAGTAGCATCCTGTTTCAATTTTCGTATTACCATCTGGTTATTTAACATAGCCATGGAAAATGGCCCAATTATAGATGGTTTACCTATTAAAAATGGTGATTGTCTATAGCTACGTTAAATAACCAGAGGGTAAATCACATTTTTTGGGATCTGACCATGGGTCAAAAGTTCGAAACACAAAAAAAAAACAGATGAATTGGTCGTACTGTACGTACTGTACGTACTTCAGGTGGTAAAGAGTAAAACCAGTACCATCTGGTAAACATACAAAAAACTATGGAAAACTTTTAATTGATAAATCAACTATTTCTATGGCCATTTTCCATAGCTATGTTAAATTATACCAGAGGGTAAACAGTCCCATATTTCATATTTGTGGGTTTCTTAAGTCATGGGGGATCCCCAAATCCATATCAGTACTAAGTCATGGTCTATATAATTTGGGATGATTGGGGTAGCCCCATGACTTAGGAAACCTTCATTTGAGTACCAACATGTCACCCAATTTGCCTTGCTTATTATAACCTGTAAGCCTATAAGCCCAATATGTGTGGTCGAAATCAACCAGGTGAGTTTTTAAGAGTTCACTTAGTTGAACCCCCAATTTCTGGCACGAGGGTCTGCTTGGAGGGTCTGCTTCTCCGGTGTCATCAGACATGCCGCAGGCTGGAAAATCCACCATTGAGTTTCATGGATTTTCCCAGCCAAAAACCACCATTTAAAATTTAGTTGGGGAAATTCCTATTGGTAATTCATGGTTGTTAAACTTTGGTAATATTGGTAATTCCTATTGGTAATTCCTATTTATTGGTAATATTGGTAATTCAAACTCCAATTTTCTGAGTGAAATCACGTGTACGTTTTCAGCCAGTGTCCCAGGTGATTCGACAAGAGACGAAAGATGCTGGGAGTGGCTTGGAGCCAACGAATGGGCAGTGTGTTCGATAACCACGAAGAATAGGGATGTAAGCAACAAAGACAACGATGTAACAAAATCATAGGTTTTGTTTTAGCGAAACAAAACACAATTTTCCAAGCAATTATTCATATCTTTGGCTTCATACTCCATTGAATCTATGAAGATCGGATTTGCCAAATACCGTACAACTTGCCAGCTGGATCTCTCATTGGATCTTGGGAAAGAAGCGGGTTCCGGTGCCATGTCAAGTTACTACACTCTAGTGACTAGTGCGGCTGTTCCACCCACTCGGCCACAGCTACGTTCACCATGATGCCTGAGGTTCCCAGCTGGTTGAACAGCACGACAACATGACTTTGGCCATGAACTTTTCAGGAAGGGCGGGAAGGTGATGATAGTGATGATGTCCTCCTTCAGCCAACCAAAGGCATTGAACCACTACAGCCAGGAAAGAGCCCAACTGTTCAATATATCATTGGTTGGCTTCAGTGTCACGGTTTTCCTCTTCCTAAATCCTGCTAAATCCTCCTATCGTTTTTATCCACAAGCTCCTTCTCGGGTGCTTTCACATATTTCTGACTTCAATCCCACTGATACTGCTGATGGTAGTTCCCAACCACCATCTTTCGCGGGTAACTCAACCACCCAAATGCGTTTCCATCCCCGGTTTTTTTCAACGATGATCACACGGCAAGACCTCGGCGCTGCGGCACAGCAGCATTTACCCTCTGGTAAGCTAACATAGCTGTTGAAAATCACCATTTTTAGTGGGTCAATCAAATTATTTGTGGCAATGTTCAATAGCTATGTTAAATTACCAGAGGGTATCTCCTTTCTACTTATGAAAATTGCCACTTTCGGTCCCATGTTAGCTGATCAAATACCCAGTATGAATCGTGTTAGATTCTGTTAGATGACTAGATGATCTTGAAACATATTTGATATCTAAAAAGCTGTTTTGCATATGTCTATTAAGAAATTCTAGGAAACATACCTATTTTGCATATTGGATTTTGTCATCTTTGGATATCCCAACATTTAGATGTCCCAGAGTCCCAAATCCTCAGGAAATATCCCAATTCATAGTCTGGATAGTTTAACTAATGCTGCGGTAATCCCAATAATAAGCCATCCCATTAACCAACCATGGCTGGGCTGTACATTGTTTCATACTCAATGCCATAAACCTTTACCCTCTGGTAAACTAACATGGCTATTGAAAATGGCCATTTATAGTGAGTTTTCCCATTAAAAATGGTGATTTTCCATTGCTATGTTAGTTTACCAGATGGTATATGCCGGGACTGTTTCTTTATAATTAGTTTCAGCTCTCCCTCAGTTATCCATGATCATCTCACAATTATCCTGTATCATTCCAGATCATCCTGTTGATATCCAACGACATATCCCATTATGACATTGTGTTTACCACATGAATCATCAGGATATAATATAATATATATATAATATAATATATATATAATATATACATAATATATATATAATATATATATATAATATTGTATTAACATATACCCACTGGTAAACTAACATAGCTATGGAACATCACCATTGTCAATAGGTAAATCAACGAACTAAATGGCCAGTTTCAATAGCTACCTTAGTTAACTGAAGGGTATTAACATTCCATATCATCCTGTTCATATCCAACGACATATCCCACTATGACGCTATATCCCATTATATCCCATTACAATCATCAGGATATCTCATATTAACATAATCCTCGTTATAGAGTCATGGCTTGTGGATCTTATATCTATAAAAATGGGGACCTATGAGACTTCCACTTAATCTACAGGCGGAATTTTACATATATTACCCTCTGGTAAATTAACATAGACCCTGGCAGTCATCGGGGTTGGAAGATTAGTTTCCATTAAAAATGGGTGATTTTCAGGGTCAACAAGTTAATTTACCAGAGGGTAAATTCCCATTAGATCCCATTCATTCCCATTAAGTCACCATAAAAACCCATTAAGTCACCATTAAATCCCATTAAAGTAACAGTTTGCTATTGAAAATGGCCCAGTCGAAATAGTGGATTTTCCCATTAAAAATGGTGATTTCCCATTAAAAATGGTGATTAAAAATGGTGATTTTCCATCACAATAACCATCCCATCAGCCCATCAGGCGCCGGCAGCGCCATTCCGCCGGCCATGGTCGACCCGCGGCTCCATGAGACACGGCAGAGCAAGCTGCTCTGCGCGGAGCTTCTGGGGGCCTTAGTACCTTGGTGGCTGGTGGTCGATTCAACCACTAAAAATGGCCATTTTGAAGTGGATTTACCAGCATTTGATGTGGATTTACCACCATTTGAAGTGGATTTATATGGGATTTACAACCATTTTAAATGGATGTGCCATCATTTTAAGTGGATTTACATGTATTTAACACTATTCTAAGATATTTTTAGCGGATTTGCCACCTTTTTAAGTGGATTTGTTCATTACCATTTTAAGAGGATTTTTTAGGAAGGATGATCATAAACCAGTGGAATATGGGACACAACATGATAAAACAATGAACATATACCTCAAGTTACATGGCCTGTATTTGTCATAGGGGATGGTCAAAAACACATTATATTGGTATGTACACATTATCGAAGGGCATGTCAGCAATGCTTAAACTCTGATTATACAAACACTACTTGTACATGCTTAGATTTGTTTTTGTGTTCAATCCAATATGGGATTCCCTACGCACCCAAAAAATACATTCAAAGCATGGCTGTGGAACATTATTTTCATAGTGAACATTGCCATGATTGGCTTCCATCTCTGTTTTCAGGTGGGTATAAGCCGGTGCGTCAACAGTCAGACCATGTAAGTGACTTAACTATGGTTCATGGTAGATACATATATATATATACATATATATATAGATGATGAGGCTTATGTGTGGGGGGCAGCACCTTGTATAGAATGCAGATCAAAAACTGTAAAACTGCGAGTTGCAACCAGCGGATATGAAGATACACTTGGTCAATAACGAATCAGACTAGGGAGCTGGGCAAGCACTTACTTGGGAGTCTTGATCAATAAAACTAGTGATATAAATGCTCCCTGCCACTCCGAATGAGCGAGCCAATTTGGAGCCATATCTATATCCAATTGTAAATGGCTGTGATCCAAGATTAGAAAAAAAAAACTTCCCCAGAGCGAAGTTGTTGGTTTTCATATGTTTTTCTCATCCAGTACTTGTAGGAAGCAATAATGGTACGCAGCAATTATCAATTCATCGCTTTTCGGATGGCACAGAGGTGGTGGTGGCATTGGCGCCTGTGCTCGTCTATCAGGCTCACAGCATGGGATTGACGACTTTCAGCACTGGTACTTAGTGTCACATATACGAATCCATATGACTTGTTGAAATTCAAGCAGTTCCATTCATGTATGATCTTGACATATGCATATATAATCATATATATATATATTATTATATATAGATGATGTTGCCATATTTCCCAGCAAACTATGCAGGCCGTCCCAAGAAGACATAAAAAATCAGGTTGGACATCACTGATCCCCATCCCGATTGATTATACGGATAACACAAACCATCAATCATTCCAAATATGCGCTCAACTGGTGTAAATGATATATATATACACATATACAATATATTATATATACACATAATATTATATATATACATAATATTATATATATACATAATATTATAGAAAAAACATATTCACTGGTTAATCCCCTCAAACCATGACTTCATATAGATCAAAAATTGCAAGTAGGGATTTGTAGCATTGTTTTTACAGCTCCAAATTCACAGTGCAGGGATACTATGGAAATGATTAATCATGATTTTCGTAGCAGTAATCTCAAAAATGCCTTTAGTGTTAAGTACCCTAGACATTTTGCTTTATCATAGAATTGGATTATGGGAAAATTTACAGGAAAGCCCGATCAATTTGATGGTAAAAACCCATGGGTTTCCGGTTAAGATTTTCCCTTAAACCAATCCAGTGACTTTAGCATTGGATTTCTTCCTTTTTTTGGGGGTCTCGCACATTGGCGTATTCTCTTTATCTGAGGATGGGATCCATCGATCAATCCTAGGGATTTTGCTAACCGCAAACATGACTGCCCCAATTTAATCACCGGGGTTGACGAAGGTGTTTTTCACCCACCAACAGAGACAGTCTGGCTTTTTATTACGGGGCGTCATTTAGACTGGGCGGGTTTAGGGTTTCTGTTTGGGTGGCTTAACCATGGTGACAGATTCGAGTATTTGATTAAATACACCATGCTATTCATCTCAGTTTACCCAGATTAATCACCTGCAAAAAAAAAAAGTTGGTTGAAATAAATCTCATTAAGTGTGTGTGTGTATATAATATATACATACGGAGGCTTCTTAAAATGTAGGATCCCCAAAACCATAGGTTTCAATGATCTAATTTTGGATGATTTGGGGGCACCCCCATTTTACGACACCTCCGTCTATTATAATTATTCAACATGACCATGGCTCACTGGAAATTCCAACATATAGTTTTAAGCCAAGTATTGCAGATTGCAGGTCTGTGAAATCCTCATCGTATGCGTCTATGAGCTATGACAAACACCCAAGACCAGTATTTCAGGTTGTCTCAAAGAGTCCAGTAGCATCTTGTTTCAATTTTCGTATTAAATCACATTTTTTGGGATCTGACCACAAACCCAGGGACCAAGGGCACTCGCCTCGTGGACCCCGGTTCCAGGGATGGTATGCCTTCGTCTCCCTCTCGACGCTTCTGATGTCCCTGACCCTGGTCCAAGTGGCCATGAAGGCGGCGCTGCACAATGGCCTGCCGTACCCGTATACCTTGACGGCGCCAGGGTGGCATTGCAGGCTGTTTTCATGGGGATGTGACCATATTTGACCATCATTTTCATGGAGATTTTACGTTCAAAAACTGGGATTTAAGCATCAAAAATGGGGCATTGAACTATCAACGATGGTTGAGCCATGAACAATTTGGATTTTGCCAAGAAACATTATGGTATGATGTGGAAATAATCAATATACAATGATATGTATATTATTATATATACATATATATATATACAATGAGTAATGGGGATACTCTGGAGGCGAAACATAAGATAAGCATGGAACTATGTGTTTATACTCATTTCTAAGTGATTTTTGTGTATCATATTAACATATATGTATATATGATAAATTATACCTTTATATTTCTACATCTATTATTTATATCATACAGATAAACATACACATAATGATTATAGATGGTTATAGTTACTGTATACGTCGTCCCATCATCCTCCCCAATGTCATATGATATACATTATATGCAAGGTCGTGCCCACCCAGTTATAGATTGGTTCATAACCCCCATTAATCATGTACATCATTTGTTTTAGTATTATTGTGTCATCCGATCATTCTCTTATATCATCCCATATGTATACATACATATATATATAAATACACACATGACATCATAACATAGATATATTGGGATTTAGATATGAGGAATATGATAATATCAAACCCCACATTCCAAGTTTTGAGGACCATTATCCACAGCATCTATAAAATATAGACAACAAAGACTACATATATAGATTATGTCGATTATTATATAGATTATATAGATTATATAGATTATATAAATAAATTATATTAATTATATAGATTATATAAGTTATATAACATATCGATTATACATTCAGTACCAGCTTTTCAACTATCATAAAAGCAGGTCATATTATGTATATAAACTCTATAGATTATATATATATGATGATTATATAGATTATATAGAGTATGTAGATTATATAGATTATATACATATTACATATATATTATATCGATCACATAGACTAAATATAGATTATGTATATACATATTACCCAGCAAGTCTAAGGGACAACTTTTTGAGGTCCTTTTAGAGATCTCGTTTTTTAAGTGGTCCCAAAAGGAACATGTTCAGCATAGTTATATATATTCTATACCCTCTAGTAATTTAACATAGCTATTGAAAATGACCATTTATAGTGGATTTTCCAAGAAAAAATGTGATTTTCCATAGCTATGTTAGTTTACCAGAGGGTAGATCTATTCCCACCATTTCTCCGAGGCCCTGCACATGTCACTGACGGTGCTCACCGCCTTGGCCACCGGCCCGCCGCGCTCGGGCGAGCTCGCTTTGGCCTTGCGGACGCTGCCGGCCTCCGTGGCCAGCGGCGCGGCGGTGTTGATGCACAACGTGGCGCTGACGCAGGTGGGAACGATGGGGGAAAAATTGGGAAAAAACCTGGGGAAACCCATGGGAAAATGCTCACAAATGATGTTTTTATGGAAGAAACATGGGAAAAACATGGGAAAAACAAACCATGGGAACATGATGGAACATTGACTTTTTGTGGGAAAACCATGTTTTATGGGAAAAAATGAAAACACATGGGGAAAAGAGGAAACCATGTTTCAAACGGGAAAAGGTGAATGCAACTTGCACAGAACAACATGGGATTGGACGAGGAAAAGTGTGGATTTGAACTGCAAAAATGCCAAAGTAAGCAGCACAATTGAGTTTCTGAATCAACCAACCAACATCAGTGATGTGGCCAGCCAAAATTTAGATGTTGATATACCTAGAAGACCCTGGATGTCAACCAGTTTGTTTTGCTGTGGTCTCCTGACGGGTTGGTTGATGTGCAGGGTGATGGAACAGAATTCTACCCTCTGGCAAGCATACAAAACACTATGGAACATATTTTTGAAAATCACTGTTTTTTTGATGCATGGGTCATTGATATTTTCCAATAATGTGGTTTGAACAATCATATCACCCATTTGGGAATGGTTTATTCTATTTATACCACCTATTTATGGTGAAATGAGGACTATTGAGGATGGTTTATGATTGCTTTACCAATCTTATTTTCCCAACATTATTTTCCCATTTTCCCATTCCTAACCACATTGTTTATGTGAATCATCAAACGATTTTGGCGGTTTCCTTCTAGGCGAGCGTGAGCTTCGTGACAATGCTTGGGACCTGCACACCGGTGGTGACCTACTGTGACTTGGTGATTTGTGTCAAGGGGATTCACCAACAAAGATGGGAATATCACGGGAATATTTCACGGGAATATTTCACGGGATAGAACATGAAACACCGGAGACCAACTCAAAAGTCACCCCATGTCACCCCCAAATTTCGAGTTTGATCAATTGATATCAATTGCTTCCACCATCTTCCACCAAAAAAGGTCAGTTCCAGCTGCTCCGGGCCTCAAATTGAGGTGTTGAGTTGTTCATTGGACATCGACAAGGCACCTGGAAGAGTGGGGTCCCAGTCTTGATGGCGTGCGTTGGAGGCGCGCGGGCCGCACCATCTTGCACCGGGGGAATGGCGGCCAGCGTGACGTGGTTTTAAGATGTTTCAAATACATTCAAATCCCATGACGGATCCATGGTGCTGCTATATATGGTAACATGGATCCCATCAATATACCCCCTTTATGTTAGTATATATACCAGCACCGTGGATCCTATGGGAATATAGTAGCATTAAATATATGATATACAATGATTTAGACATACATATTAATAAGATTATGTTTCAGAAATGGCCATCGAACATACATTCCATAGCTAATTATGTGAGAAATTACCGGAGGGTATAGTGTATAATATATATATATGATACATACTTGAATACTTGGTTGCTCATCCCAGTCAGTAAGTGGAGTTCAACCGCAATTAGACTATAGTTTCCAATTTCTTTTCCAACTTCAAACCCATCATAGACTTGGCTAACGAACTGGGGCACCACTTTAATCCTTTTTATAGATGCATCATTTCCCCAATCCCAGAATTAAGGTAACATGTGCAGTAAAACCTTGGATTTGGAACATGTTGGGATAAGAACCATGGATTTAAGGAAACACATCCATGTTCTCCGAACTCGTCCCTTTAATATTTCATTTGTTTTTTCGAATATATTGTTTAAATTATTCAATATGTATATATATATATATATTATACATATGTTTATTTATTGAAATTCAATATTTAAAATATTTATACTTTTTTGCCTTATCAAATTATAATCACATATATATTATATATATAGGCCAAGGTAAATATTTAATATATATATATAGGTCCAAATTATTTTGTGCTTAAACATATATATATATATCATATATCATTATTTTTCAAATTTTGATATATGAGTAAATATTAACATCCATCCGATTTTGACCAAAAAAAGAAACACCAGATAATTTTCATGATGTAATTCCTCAGAATTTGGGACTCAAATCCATCAATATTTCCACAACATCTATCTGGTTATTTGTTACATAGCCATGGAAAATCCACCTATTTTTAATAGGTAAACATAGCTAAACCATCTATTTCTATGGGCCATCTATACCATGGCTATGTTAGTCATAACCAGAGGGTAAATGATTTTGTCCATTACCCATAGGATCCATGTATGCTATATATGGTAACATTTACCATCAATGTACCCCCAATGTTAGTATATATACCAGCACCATGGATCCTATGGGTAACCAAACGGTATGTCCCAAAAAAACCTCCGTCCCCATGGCTTTCCGCCACCGCCTTCCGAGGTGCTCTCTGTGTCCGTGGCGAACGGAGCAGCTCCGTAGTGGCTCTGCTGCTGGTCCTCTGTGGATGCGCCTCACGTAGCGCGGAGATCTCGTCATTTTCGGTGGGGAAAGGCTAAGGAAAAGCTAAGGAAAACCATATAGGGATATATACTGCAGGGGATTTTTCAAGCGATTGATGGATTTTGATTTTGAACACCAAGAATTTGTATGATGATTTGAGGATATTTGACTGATTTAGGCATGAAAACACTGGGACATGTCCCAGTTAAGCTTGAAGTATTGAAGGATTTACCTTAGACATGACAAAATTTGAATTTAGCTGATTTGAACATCAACATATAGGAAATTCAGTGATTTAAGCATCTTTAATTTTTTTCTGGATGCAACGGATTTCAGAACCCCAAACTGAAGAGGTGACCAGTCCAAACATAGTGATGAATCATAAAACGGTGGGATTTAACCAACAAAAATTGGGATTTAGTTAGGAAAAAGGATACATCTCACTCCCCGTTTACAGGGATTCAAGGTACCATCAACACATATCAAAACAAAAGGGTTTTCACCATCAGAAAGGGGGCTGAATTTTGGGAAAATATTGGCCAATGATGCTTTTTCCGCCATAAACGGGGAAGGTATGCATTGATTGCCTAGCCAAACAAACATTGGGCAATGTGGTAAACCCAACAATAAACCTTCCCCAACAATGGCCTCAATATCACCATAGATGGGTAGTATAGATGGGTAGTATTGACCATCCCCAAAGTGGTATGTTGATTATTGGGTTTACCACAGTATCTCAGATGAGACATTTGGGATTGCACCTTACATGTGATGTGTGTCAGGGCAAATTAATAATTATTTCAATGGGAGATCTTCAGGATCCTAAAATGGAGGTACGTTAGTACCATATTTTTGGCCATATGAATTGTGGGGATATCCCCTTACATAGGCCTTATATATGGTAGGTACCTCCAATTTAGGTTCCTGAAATGGCCATTACACCTCACTAGCTTCGATTGCCTCATTTTACAATGTGTGTCCACTAGGATTTTCTCAAAGAAGCTCTTCAAAGATTGGGCCTTAATCTTGGGTTCACCAGCAGGGAGGAAAAAAAACACAAAAACAACACACACAAATGATCAAATATGATCAAATATGTGTGTATATACAGCCCGAGAGTTGGTTAAGAATCCGAAAGCTTGAGGCCCAGGGTCCCTCAAATTCTTATTTTTAAATGCAGGCAAATTTCCACCCTCAAATTCTTAGAGCATTCTTAGTTATGTATTGTATGTATCTGCGCAATTTGGAGTGGGCTTAAACGAGGCAACGAGGTGGAGTTGGCAGATTTAACAAGAGGCATGCGAAAAAAACAATTTTGTAGAGCCTGATTTTCTTTTTTTTGCAAAGTCGGGCTTGTCACTGAGTTTCACAAGGGCAGTGCCGAAAAAACAATTTTTGAGGTCACGATCTTTTTTTTTGCAGTGCCTGGCTTGACCCCTTCAATGCGAAAAAACAATTTTTCAGAGCCTGAATATCCAAGGTTTCAGGTTCCCATTTCTATCCACATATAGATTTTGAGTGGATTGGAAGCAGTCCAAGCATGTGCGAAAAAACAATTGTTCGGAGCTTGAAAATTGTTTTTCTGCAAAGCCCGATTTCATAAGGCCATAAGGGGTCACTCCACAAAAAAGAAACGCAAAGGGGAATTGCAAACCTCACGTATAAGCAGTAATTCAAGAATTTGGCAATCCTATTCCAGGGTCCCTCAAATTCTTGAAGTACATAAGTCCTATGTGCTTGGTATAGCTGAAAATATGTAGCCCGCCTTGGATCCGAGTCCCTCAAATTCTTATACAGTGCATTCTTATACAATACTCAAGCTGTATATATATATATACATATTTATATTATAGGCCTCATATAAGCCATAACATCTATGACTGGGATATATATATATAGTGAGATTGATGATCCTTTTCGTGGTTCAGCCCCCTTTTGCCCATTGAGACGACCGTGTTTTTTTCAAATGACGCTAGGGCGGTGATTTTCAGCTGGGATGCCACGGCCCATCGTTCGGACAAAAAAAACGATTTGGACTATGAAAGGTTGTGTTTTATCATGAACTGTTTAAAACTAGGGGATGGAAAGTGCAACACCAAAAACATCCAAAACTCGAACTTAGAACTTAGAACTCCCCAAAGTCCACCATTGTTTTTTTTACAAATGTGCTATGGTCAAGTTAGTTGGATTGGATTGATTGGATGTACCCAGTGCTGGATGGTCATCAATCCAAATTGGGGGAATTCCACCCATGATCTTTGGCCATTCTGGATGAGCAACGACCATGGCACATACCCTCTGGTAAACATATAAAAAACTATGGAAAATCACCATTTTCAATGGGAAAATCCACTATAGATCACCATTTTCAATAGCTATGTTAGTCATTACCAGAGGGTATGTTGGACACCCGGCCCCAAAGGTAGCATGAAATCCATCTGGCAGCAGCGGCTTCTGGTCCTTGACGAGCTGGGCCCGGCCCGCTTAGCTGTGTCTTGATCGAACAACAGCAGACCATCCAGGTGGACTGTTCCAGCCGCCAGCAAAATGGGAAAACCGAACGGCCATGGCGTCAACAATGACTTACCCGGCATGGTAATGACTAACAGTTTGCTATTGAAAATGGCCATTGAAATAGTGAGTTTTCCCATTAAACATGGTGATTTTCCAGTTCGCTATGTTAGTTTACCAGAGGGTAACTGGATTTAACTGGTGGTTAGTTGGATCTGTTTTTGCTTCTTGTTCATGATGAAAGTCACGAAAGTGATTCTCCCTGACAGTGTCATATCATTTGGACGAGGTGAAATCAGCAATGCCGAGAAATTCACCAGTGGACCAGGGGGGTCCATATTTTCGATGTGATTCAATGTTTGATTGGCACAATGCGCATTTGATGGAGGTCCTGTGTTGACAGTGTCGGATGTCCAGTCTGTTTGCATTCCGAACGTGTGCTAAGCCACAGCTGAATTCTAATGACACTTACATATTCCTTTGGTTCCATGACAATGAGATCGACTGTGCTTCATGTTTTTCACATACTGTACTTTTCCTCATTCTGGGTTTGCTAAAGTGATTGCTCCAGAGCCCAAGGTCAGTTCAGTTACATCTAGGTGCGTATCAATGCCAAAGAAGACGTGTAGACCATCCTTCGGAGGTCCAAGTATTGGGGTAGCACTGGTACCACTTCACAATGGTTCTTCCTGAAAACTTTGACTTGGACAATAACTTGTGGCCCCCTGTGAAGAAACCCGCATTTTTGCTGATGAAATTCCGATTTTTCATTTGTGAAATCACTTTTTGTTGCTCAAATCCCTTTTAGATCACAACTTTTGACTTCGGAACCCCCAGAAACTTGGTGCTGCTAAGTAGGGAATGGAGGAATTGGATGATAGCTACTATAGTTTCTAGTTATTAGGGATCATTCCTCCATTCCCTACCAGGCCCTACCAGGCCCTACCAACCACCGGTAAGAAAAAAAGTTGGGATGACCATCCGCAGACCCGAAGCTGAGGCTTGGGGAGCCGCATGGACACTCCTTCTCACTCTGCCATTTGCGATGGTTGTTGAAGGAGCAGGCAAAGCTCCGAAATGGGCAGATAATTTCACAGTTTGCTATGGAAAATCAGCATTCTCAATGGGTAAATCATCATGTTTATGCTTTATCATCGAACTATATACCCAAAAGCTCTGGTTAGGCTAATTTCTACCTATTAGGTTATATCTTGTTTCCTGACTATTAGTTAAAATTTGTTTTTGACTATTAGGTAAAACACTTGTTTTACCTAATAGTCAGATTGCTAAAATAACCTATTTTTCTGTAGGTTATTTATATGAATAGCCTTTTTTCTGTTTGCTGTTTTGATGAAAAGGCTACGTTTTTTTTTTCAGTTTGTTTCTTTGAACAACAGACTTAAAAAGAATATAGTTGGAAGCAAAAGTTCGAAGAACATCAAAACAGGTCGCAAAAAGAAAACAAGCGTAACTTGATGTCTTTTTCTGCTTTAGGATGAGAAATTATTTCAAGATCTTTTTGTGAAGCCTTGGGAGTTTCTGGGGGCCCATGGCTTCACTTGTAGTGATGCTTGGCTAGATCAAATACAAGAGCATCAGCCTAGGAATGGCACCTATGTGGGGCTATCCTGCACATTTTTGGCATGTGTATTTGATAGACCTGGTTGGAAGTTGTATTCGAAACCATGTCATGGGCCTTTGGTGGGCTTATGTTGGGTCACTTGGTGGCTCTGCTGGGCCTATGTTCGGCCTATGTTGAGCAAAAAGATGCCGCCATTTGGGCTTATGTTCAGCCAATTTCAACCCAGACCTAAGAAAAATTAGGTCTGGGTTGAGGAAAACCGTCCTTTTTGGGCCATGCCCCAGCCATATTGGGCCTATTCTGTGCCAAGTTGGGGGTATGTTGGGCCTATCTTGCAGCAATTGGCACATCCACTGCTTGAGCTGCATGTCGCCATTTTACATTGTATAAAGTTAAATTTGACATGACTCATTTTTTGGCTTAAAATGAGGGTGCGCAGCAACATGCAAATATATCAGTGGAATATTTTGTTTGGATGGGCAAACCAACAAGGGATGGAAACACAAAACAACGCGTATATATATAATTATATGTTCATTTATCCACTTATTTTCTAGATCTATATATTTATAAATTGTTTATATCTGTATATAAACATGTGCTGCAACAATGGCAATGGATAGTTTTTCTGGGTGCCAAACCAGCACACAATGAAAAAAACAGTTCATGATTTGTCATGGTTTTTAAATACAATACTTTGACTTAAAAACACGCAAGACCAAACACCCAAGATGATAAAATCAACCGTTTTAAAAACAAAAAATGAAAATATAATTTGCTAGCATTGTTTTGGAAAAATCAATGAAAAATCAATGGAATACATCTAAATTCATGGGTGGTCATGGGTGTTCATGTGCGTTCATGGGCGCTCACCGGTGTTCATTTTTGTTTGGTGTGTTTTTCCATCCATCCATTTATTGAGATGAACATAGGTTTTAAGAGGAGGTCCCTGAGTGATTGTTC